GTTCTTTTTCCTACAACAAATGAATGCCATGTCTTGTTAAAAATCATGGCAATACAAATTCATTCCAGCCTAACAAACCTGTGTCAATTTAATTACTGCAAACTGCACTTACTGATAGAGACAATAAATAAGACAGAATAAGACAGATGATACTGCTTAGAAGTGAGCACCGTTTCTACAAAATATTCTAAGGTGTAAATCTTGAGGGACAAATTCTCAGTTTCACATACATCAACACAAAGCAATGGAGGATGCTTCCCTTTGCATCAGGCAGTGTCCCAGCTGTAAGATTTCTTACTTGACTCCTTACATGCCTATGGGGCTGATGCAAACAACACAGACAAGCCACCCTTTCACCAGGAAGGAAGAAAACACATTTATGCACAACCCAGGGGAAGCACAGGTTTTTGATATGGTGATTTATATTTAAATAGGATCTACTATACATTTATTTATTGGTTTCTACTTTTTGTGTCTTATAAACCAGGAATTCAGAAAAAGGTAAAGAGAAATTAAAAGCACGTTGAAACCTCACGCCCACACCGCTCTGTTAAACCTATGCTTCAGCTGTAAGAGACTTAGTAAGACAATCTCTCAAAAACAACCACCAAATTCAAAAACCTATGGCCATAAAGAACTGAGTCCAGTTGACACACACTGTAGTGTTACAGCAAATCTGCTGTTCCACAGGTAGTTTTCTGATAGCAAAGGGTATTTTGTTTTTAACCACTACGCTGTCTTCTGTTTGCTATGTGGCTGTTGAGACGAAAAAACAGTCCTCTGCATTTTGCTTTCGGCTCCTGCAATGCACTTTTCCTCCCCTTTAAAGTGCAAGGAGCTGAACCCACATTTAGGAAGTTCCCAGAGATAACAAATAGGTCCCACTGGGCAGTTTTATGTATTTATTTTGTCTTCCTCTACAGAGAAAGACAACGGGCATGGGAGTTCAAACGAAGCTCAGAGAAGCCAAAAAGGAAACCACAGGTTTTATTTTTCTCTTCTGAGCTTATGTTTAGTGAGGCCTCATCCCTCAGCATGAGAGATATGTGCTGTGCTCTTCTAGGGTTTTTAAATATCTCAGGTCACCCAGAGAGATTCTGTAAACTCTGATTGTTAACTGAAAGATGCAGATAAACACTCTTTAATTCTTCTCTTCCAACTTTCTCAGACCTCAGGAGAGATACCTGGATATAAGATGTTCCAGTTTCAGTGGCAAAGGTCTTTGATATTTTTGGGAAACAAGTCAGATTGTTTATCCTCCAGTTTTGCTCTCTTTGGTTCACAAAGCCTGAAGGAGAAAATTCTTTTCTAATCTCTCCTTCTGTTTATCCCTCTCCCTGCAGCCTCCTAATTTCACCCAAAGAGAAAGGTCATTGAGGCGAGACTGACAACTCAGTGTAGTTAGGTGAGCTCCTGCACATTGCTCTGTCTCAAAAGTAGTTTTAGTTCTTTTACTTCCCTCAGTCATGAGTCTGCTCTTGAAGGCCCTGCAAGGTAAGCAGGAGCGTCCTGGAGGCACTTCAGCTTATGTTGCCTATGAGCAGCCGCAAAGGATTAACATTTCAGTTTGCGCTTTGTAACTGGGTCAGGCTATGCTGACAACCAAAAGTTTGAGTGGTATAAGGCCTTTCTTCCAAGTCATGATAAAACTACCATTGACTTGAACAGTACAGGAACATCACTCCTTCCCCCAGTTCTGGGGGACTGCTGCTTTCCCGATAGATTGCTGGTTTGTAATTAGACCAGGTTATAGCACTGGTGAGAAGTGGCTCTACTGGATTGGAGAACCCAAGTCTAATAATTAACCCGGGGACTAATTTCTGACCCTTTAAAAGGAGGGTATCTTACAACAAAGCTTCAGATATACAATACTCATAACAGCTTTATGCCAGAAATAGAGGTTCTTCTCTCCTTCAAAAACTGCATAGAGAAGATTTTCCTTCCTCCAACTGATTTGTGGGTTTTTTTTCAGTCTTTGATGTCTTAAACCAAGAAATGGAGGTATTTTGCTCTCTGGGCAAATTGTGAGGTCTGTGTCAGGTTGGTGAGCCCTTCTGTCCCAATGTATACCCTCTATCATGTCACTGTATGACTGGTGTGGGTGCTGTATCACATGCCAGGGTATTAAATGCATGCTTGGTAGGCATGCTTCCAGCAAATAGTTTACCGTGGACAGGAAAAAAGCTTTGATGCAAAGAAGGAAAAACAATCACCCAAACAATAAAGTAAGGGGTGCAACTTCATTTCAGGCCCTTTTATTCAGGAGTTCTTTGGCAGGGACTCTTTTATTCTCTGTGCCAGAGCACGGCCAGCTGAGCAAGCGAGGAATGTGTGCAACTTGCAATAGGTCAGTAACTTCGCAGAGGTCAATGAAATCGCTCACATGCTGAAGCCAATGAAGCTAACCCAAGCTCAGGTAAAATGTGTGCTTACTGAACTTTGCTGAATCAGCACCTACCTCCTGAAAAAATTCCAAGGATTGCTGCAGCTTCCATTTCCTCTTTAAAAATCTTCCCTTCCCCTCCACAAGAAAAGTGTCTTCTGACAAACTGAGAGAGCTCTTCCCCTACACCATGACAAGCTAAAACATGAGCAATATCAGATGCACCCTGCATTAGTTACCAAATCTCTGCAGCTTTAATCCAGGACAGACCGGTGCATGTCAGCATGGGCCTTTGTCAACCTGTGACCTTCAGCTGAAGGTCATGAAGAACATGACCTACTCCTTAATTACACACCACAGCTGCACAAGGCTGTCGAGGACAGAAATGGGGAAACTTAGCACCAAGCTCAACACTTGGTCCGAGGTCAGCATCACTAGACTCATCTTCTAGCCATGGGAGTTGGCTCCAGTGTCACCGAGTTTGTTATGGAAGAGATATCCATGGCAGACAGAAATAAGGATTGGATAACGTCCACACCAAGACATCGCCTCTCAGTCTGGGAAATCCATGCACACAAGTCCACCATGTGCTCTTTGGACAGTTGAATTGTTATCTCTCTTCCAGCCCTATTCACTTGTTGAGTTAAACCAATTAAAAAAATTCCATTATAATGCCATAAACGTATAAAATTTGCTTTTTTTTAATGTGACATTTGAGTTTGGTAAAAAGTCTTTGCTCTGAAATCCAGTTATTGACTAACACTGCTAAGCATGTAAATAGCTTATTCCCAGATCTTCTTCTGACCTCTTCCTGTAATTTCGATTAGATTTTAAACCACAAGTTTGGCAGAGCTATTGCCGAGAAAGGACTTTCACCATCCTCACCACACAACTGTAGGTAATAAACACCCAGGGGCAAACTCCCTCTCTGATTTCCATCATTACTGATGGAAAATAATTTATCTATAAATTACTGATTTCCATCAACAGCTTTGCAATGAGAATGGATTTGGCCTTTTACCCTAAACAGGCATCCACCTTGTTAACATTACTGGTTGTTGAAGAAAGCAGATTGGCAAAGAAACTGTTTCTTTTAGCACTGATCCTGGCAAATGACTCCACATCACCTCCCATGAACCTTCCAAATCAGGATGTTACTCAGTTCCCAGCTCAGCACTGAATTCATTCGAAGCCGGAACCTGCCCATAGCCAACACAGACTCTCTAAAGAAGAAACCACAAAAAAGCTAGCAGATCTGTTAACAACAACACTGCAGAAGCCTGGTTTAGAATGGGACAGTTTAACTCGCCATCTAAGAAGTGATGAGGCCTGACAGACAACTTTTCTGTGATTAAGGTTTTTGCGACAGTACTGTCTCATGTGGAGTCTCTGGTGTCTATTAACACAGCTGGGTTCACAGTTCAATTACGTGAATTCTTTGATGTCTCATTATGCAGTTAAGCCCATGCTCTAGTTTTTCCCTGAGGCTCCTCTCCTCTCTCTAGACACTAATTTCCATGAAACTCCTAGGAATCTTAATATCTGCAATATTGCTGTCATTGTGCCACAATCAGCCAGCAGTTTCAAGAAGCATTTGGCAAGGTGAAGGCTAGGGAGAAGGGAGACAAGGGGCAAGCAAGCAGTCCTATCACATAAGTATCTTCTTCTGAGAAAACTAGGTTCAACACACCATTATACACTCCCAACAAATGTACACTAATAGCAGGAGTGAAATACCATTTCTTGACACAGCAGAGAGAACCTTACTCCTTGCTGCATATTCATCACTGGTCTTTACATTATCCTGCTCTTTAAAACTCCCTAAAAATTTCAGACACAGAACTAATTCATATGGTGATGAAGAGCAAAGAAACATTTTAAGTGTGAGAAACTATATCCTTTTGTTTGCTGTAAATCTATTTGTTTATATAAAAAAAAAATCACCAGCCAGGAAAATCTCAACTTCCTCACCCTCTAAGAATCTGCTCCTGGCTCTCTCCCTCCCTTCTGCCTCATACCGCTTCTCCTCAACACAAGCTCAAGCTTTTCTTTCATGAAGCAAAAAAAAAAAATCTTAAACTTGCCTTTTGCCTGGAATTCCTCTTTTTGTTTCTCCTTCACTACTATTAAGAAAAAAAATCTAAGACTGAAGGCAAATACCAGTATGTGGTCTTAATGGTTTTGTATCAACAGCTTTGCTAGACTTTGGTTCCAGTGACCAAATATGACCATGATTCAACCATAAATTGCATATTCGTTTTGTTGCCTACTCCAGATGTGAAGTTTCATATCCAGAACTGCTAATGCAGTAACACAGAGCACTTAATGGAAGTCATGTTATTACCACATACACCCGTCTGCTTGCAAAACTTCATACTTCAAGGCCCACAGTTTTAAAATGAGTCTTTACTCTCAGACCCTCTGGATCTTAAGGCATGAAATCTGAACCTCTACAGTCTCTACTTTTAGATATGAGGACCACATTTAATTGCACAGAAGCTGTGGCATTCTGGAGAAGAAGTTTTCAATGAATGAGCGAAATCAGAGACTGCTTAAGACTTCAGCAATACAGTACAGACAGATAAAGAAAACAGCCTGAGAAAAGTAACTAATTTACCTGGAGTATTAACAGCATCTGAATAATAGAGGGTGGAACTCTGGCTCTGGAACGTGACAATGCATCTTCCAATTTGATGTTGAGGGTAATTATATTCCTAAAGTGCAGAAGAGCCAGCTGCCGAACTGAGGGCTCCTTCCCCTTAGAAACAGAAACAAAACAAGATGGATTACGAGCAGTGAAAATGAGTTTCAAAATCCTCTGTCAAAATTCCTTCCTCCACTTCTGAGGGCTTACAAGAATGGTAAACCTAAATGAAAAGCAAAGGAAACACAACAAAGGACACCAAGCAGCCTACAAGTCTGCACAGCGAATTTGATTTGGCAGTAATGAACTCTGCAGACAATGACTGAGTCTGACTCTGTGTGAAGACGATGAAGGGTTGGGGTGGGGTATGGGGGATCATACCCAGGCGTAGGGTATATATGAATATTTAGTACTTAAATGGTAATGAAATCTAACATACGTTAAAAAAAAAAAAGGTTGAAAAAGAGTTGAATTTCCGTATTTCTCAAGATTTTGAGTACTGGTTGGGTACTGTCTTCAAATTATGGTGGGAATCCTGACTCGGCCCACCTATGTATCCTCCTTTTCTCTACAGTTTGGGAGACTACACCATAAGGCAGGAGCAGAGCTCAAGTTTCATATTGCAGTTTCAAAGACAACTTTTTGCAGTTCAAGAATACCTTCTCGTTGAAGAAAATCTCATCTGAAGAATCCAATGCTAGCTCTGGCTGCAGAGACAAACACTGCCTGCCTTATGAGCAGTTGCAAAACTGTTCCTGTTTCTGGCATCAGGGTTTTTTCCTTGGGTATACATGGCTGTACATATATACTCTTGCCTGCAGTTATGAGTGCTGCCAGCCAAATAGTAACACTTCTGGAAGGTCTGGTATTGACTTATCTTAGTTCAGAATAAAGAAGCCTGACCCAGTCTCACGCCACCCATTCCTTTTCACTTTGTTAACTATTTATACTGAAGTAAAGAAGGCCCTAAATCTGCTTTAATTGCTAATGAATAGAATTCACAAGAGCATATAAGCACCAGCTGGGCTTTTGGAAGTAACCTCAGAACATCAGGCACCTAGATCCATTTGAAATTACATGAGACTTAGGGCTCTTACCCCCTCTAGGTTCCTTTGAAAATTCAGGCAATTATTTCCATCTGAAAGGTGAGGAGACGTGTGTTGCTAAACTATTTTCAAGGGCCTCAGGAACACAGCAGTGAAAAGGGGTATTTGGTGCAATTTCCAGAAACATCTGAGTGGGTTCTAATTTAGTCAAGTGCTTTGGAAAAGCAGGTTGAGAGTCTACCTATAACTCTACGTGCCCAAATGCCTTGAATTTAAATTACGTGGCACTTAGAAAAATCTTGTGTCGTGTTCTAATAGGTTTTTAATACCATCTTATTTCTATCATTTTAAAGTTTCTACTTCAAAGTAGAAGATACAAGTCAATGGGTGAGGTAGCCCTGTACGTATTTAGAACTCCTCTTTTTCAGAATTAAATTCTGTGTAAAGTTGCAGCTTCTCCACTGAATGCAAATTTCATGCCTGTAATTATCTGCAAATGCAAATGGTAGTATTATTAACATTTGGACAATCATTTTAGGCATAAAGTCCACTTGGAAAAATGGGAGAAGGTTTCTGAAGTCTCCCCAAATATGTTTAGGCGCCAAGCTCCTGCTAAGATCTGTTGGCATCTAGGAGCAACCAGAAGGCCACTTACACCTATCTGGTACAGACCTCCTTGGTACTTAAGTGATAAATAACACTCTGTGGCCATTACTAAATTAGAAGATTGAGCCTTCATCCAAATCAGATCAAGTAGCTATTGTGGATCAAACTCTGTGCTCACGTAAACTGGTATAACTCCACTGACTATTGCTGTCCACTTATAGTAGCAGAGAATTTGATCTCGGAAATATAATCCCTTTCAAAAGTGGAGATACTTCAGAGACAAATTCACATTGCAGAGAAGGAATTACATATACTTAAGTCAACGCAACTCCACTTATTTCACCGTGTGCGTATTTCAGTTTATCATTCATAACCTTTTTTGACTTTCAATGTGAGTTGGCAGAAGGACTAACCATCCTCTCTGCACTCCACACCTGTTTTCAAGGTTCCTCTTCACCTTTTTCACTCAAGCACTTCAAACCTGTTTGCATAAGTAACTTATTTGCATGACATGACTATACAGAACAGCTGCACTGGCAGGTTGGCCCAAGGAGAGAGAGTTAAAGATCGCATCAATCTGTGGATGAACCAGTAAAGTTGCTTTTTCCAGTTTTTCAAGATTCTATAGTAACAGAGTAATTTTTCACCTGCACAGGATAGAAAATAGCCTGAAGCATGGGCAGGACATCACTGAAGAAAAAGTCCCAGGTTTCAGCTAAGGTATCCAGTAGTTTCTGCCCTGCAAAAAACACAAAACAAACTAGTGAACCCTTCAGGTTGTAACTGGCTAACTGCAAAGACTAAAATATGCAGGAAACAATGTGAATCTGGTATTATGCATAAAGATGAATCATGTACCAGCTGCTATTAGCAGTATGGATTTAGTATTCCTTTCAGTGTATTAGATCATTGAGTATTTATGTCTTTTCAGGTGACACATCTAACTTTCTCGGTAAACTCGGAGATTTTGAGGTTAAAGCTGACTCAGAAAAACCCTGTGAAGAACAAAGAGTAATAGCCCAGGTTACCTCCTCCTCTTCTTGCAGTAATACCTACTGGACAAGACTGTGGAGGAGAGCAGTATGAGGACAGCGGGTT